GTAGGGGTGATCTTTGCAAGATCCTGGTCTAAATAAGGACTAAACTGTCTTTCGGGCAGCAGGTTTGCAGCTCAGCTGCAGGGGTGGAGCTAGATGGGGGTCCAGAGGTGGCCATGGCCACCCTCAGCGAATCATTGGCCAGCAAACCCTGTGGCCACCCCCACCATTTTTTCCCCTCTAATACAGATGGTGGCAGCAGTAATAGTCACAAGGAGAATATTCGAACTTATTAAACATTTTGATTTTTCATTTATTAGCAATTACTTGACAACTAAAACACTGTGGTTTATTATACGCATCAAAATACTAACATTAAAGTTGATATATACAGAATTCATGCTCTCCTCAGAAATTACATTCTCTAAATTTTGTGTTATATGGGGTAAAGAGAAAATGATGTCTCTGCAAGTCATCTAGGAGTCTTCAGTGAAATCATAGATAAGTAACTACTTTAATAATAATTTAATGTATTATATAATTCTATGCAGAACAATTTTTGATGGGATCTGGAGCTGTACCACCTTCCTCCAGCAGAGTGCGCCGTGGGTCCTGCTGAGCTGAGCCTCCAACCCACCTGTGGCCCATCTCATCATCAGAGGATCCTCCAGTATATAACCTGCCTTCAGACCTTGCCTCAACGCCGCAGTGTTGATCTAGTTTGGTTAGCAACCTGAGCCTAGTAAACCTGAGAATCTTTGCTATCTCTTGTTGAGACAAGATTCTAACTCTTCCTTGTTTTTGCCTCACAGAAATCCTGTCTCTCCTTGAAGCTCTGGATGAGCTTAACCTGTCGAGCCTGCCCTCGTGAGCCAAACCTGAAGACTCTTCTCTGGATTCCCCTGCAGCTCTTGGCTAAGAGCTGGAAACCCAAATCAAGGTCTGCCCTCAAAGTCAGAAGTAAGACGCTGAAGCAGTTATTGGACTCTGCTGAACAAACAGTCTCTGGATCCAACAGTTACCTCTCTCAAAGAGAAACCCGGACTCCTCCAAGGTATTCTTCAGCAAACTCTAAGTCTCATAACTCATCAGTCCCTGTGCTAACTGAACTGTCATCCCTGCAGACTCCAGTGAACCTGCCCCCCAAGCCTGAACCAGTTCCAGTTGCAATATTTATGTGCTTGTGTGACAATAAACCTTGTTAAACTTTTCATCAGCCTCCGTTTGTGTTCTGCATATTGGGCTTACTCGGTAACCAATCATGACAATTTTTGATAATATTAGGTAAGTAAAGACAATGGAAAAGATGTTTGCCCCAGAAATTTTGTCCACTAAACCTTTAATTTAGACAGAATGGATGTTTAAATATATGTGTCTATTTGTTAACAAAGTAGGAAAGTATAGTTAGTCATATTTAGAAAATATGGATGTTGTGCTCGTTCCAGCTTAGATTGACCCTGAGGTTCTGGTGCCTATCCGTTTTCGGCCAACTCTTGGTGTACATTGGTTTTTGAGTGGTCACCCCTATTAAAATTCTCTGGCTACGCCTCTGCTCATTCAGATATTCATATAGTGTCCTACAAAATGTCTGCCAACCATTTTCAAAGATGGTGCATATAATCTTTCCTGAAAAGAATTCAGGGACATATATTCAGAAAGTCAATCTTATGTAAATGAGAAACATTTTTCCTTAAAGGTTGAATGGAGCAATTTATCAAACCAATGGACCTCCGCTATTAGTATTCTGTGCCACCATCTTCTGAGAAAAAGACACTTAGTTTCCTCCTTCACACTTAGTGGCAACACAGTAAGATGTGTAAAAAAAGGCCTTGATGTAAATTAAGTTTTTACAGCAGGAGTGCTATCTCACACTAAAAAGAGAAAATAATTATTAGAGTTGAATTTAATAGATTTATTTAATGTCACATTATTTGAGTTAATTGTCTATTATAGAGCCTAAATGGTGGTGCAATTCATTGCAACTAGCAGGTCCTGGTTCAGTCCCTGAACATGCATGGGTTATCTTTGGGTGCTCCCACAGTCCAACAACATGACTTTGAAGTTCATTGATAATTGTAAATATCCCTTATACGTGACTGTGTGCAGGGTTGTATGTCTCTGTCTTTCCATGTCGCGGCTGGTTTAAAAATAGTTGAGAAATGAGTGTTTCACACACAAAGAGGGTAGTCCCTCTTTGCATAAGCTCTCTAGATGTGGAGTACCAGTATTTTTCACATCTTCTCTACCACTTTTCTTTTAGTATCTAATGCATTCAAGTAGGGATGTCAGTTCAATTTGGTTTCATCCATTTCCCATTTCATGGAGTAGCATCTAAGTTGAAGTGAAATCTATTATTGTAAGATGGCTGAGGTTTTTTCGATTGCAAAGACATCACAACAAGACTATTTCTCTGTTTATGGATGTTGTCAGACTCAAAGTAAGAGCAGCTTAAGATAAGAAGGTGGGCAGCGAGATGAAACATCCTTGATATGTGCAGGAGAGCAAGACAGAGAAGCCTTGTAGTTACCGACAAGAAGATATGAGCCAGAGGACGACTGAAGGGAAACTATATTAGCCAAATGCTGAAGCGTGCTTTAGTTGTACACTAGCACTTAAGGCCAGCGAAAAAATGTTAAATGACAAACAACATATGAGTTATTAGAATATGCTGCAGGAAGTGATGCTGTCCCATAACCCAGTGGTTTCAAGGTGGGGAGCCACCAGGGGGTCTTAGGAGGGCTTGGAAAAAAATATTTCTTTCATTATCATTAAATATATTTTCATATTATTATTAAGTATTACTTGTAACTATCATGGTTTTGGTTCTGTTCCAGTTTTATCTCTGTTTTTATTGGTCTTATTTCTATTCTTGTAATTATTGATTGTATTTGATGTTTCTTGTTTGCCCTCCTGTGTCAGTCTTCTTTCTCCTAGCTCCCTTCTAGATTCCTCTGTTCACACCTGCTCCCAATCTGCTGATTAGCCTGCTCTTTGTTTCTGTCTGCCATATATTCTCCTCCTTTTCAGTCACTCTCTGCTGGTTTGTCATCAGTTTTTCCCCCCCTTCTTGTGAGTATCCCTGGTTCTCAGATTTTGTGGATTTATGTTTTGGATTTTTGCTTCTGTTGAACTTTTGGTTAATTAAATCTTCAAGAAACAACTTCAGCTTTTGTGTCTGCATTTGGTTCCTGTCAAACCTTGACCCCCACTGGACAATAATAATATGTCATTTTAACATGACAAACCATTGGGATGTCTGGTTTTGTGTATCTGCTAATATGGCTGTGTGTTTTGGATCCATACTATTTTAAAGGCTCTAATAAGGTTCTATTTTCATAGTTTTGCATGTTTTCTCTGCCATTCCATGGATTTCCATTCCATTCAGTCTAAAATGGCCTTCCAAGACCTTTGGAAGATAAACAGCCCAACAGGTACAGGCACAGATACAAAGACCCTCTATAGTACTAAATGTTACACAAAAGGTGTTTTTCAACCAATTCATCCGCTGATGAAGTTTATTAGTAGTACTGTTTTTAATCAATTGTATTATGCCTAGTAGGACCATAAACTTTTATCACCTTTTCAGGGTTTTTCAAAATTTTCATTATTGGACTTACTCAATTTTACAGCCGTCAAGGGGAGTTAAAAAAATGTTTGTAGCTCTATTGTAGTGCTTAAGAATCATCACATTAATGATCTACATGAACTAGACAGTATTTATCTTTGTTTTCCATGTTTGAAAGCTAAACTTCCCATTTTTTTAATCGTAAAGGGAAGGTATAGTCATGGATTATGACTAATGATGATGTGTTGAATGCAAAAGACAAAGTATCCAATTTCCTTAAATGCTTAATGTGTTTCTAAGAGTTGTAAGCAGTACCATGCGGTTTGGCACAATTGTTTCTGTTGGAATTTTTTCACTTTGTTTAAAAGGCTGCATTTTTCTTTTGTTCCCTTTGGTAAATCGCTGTATGTATTTGCATAAGAAAAAGTTATTCATTTATTACAATCTTTACCTGGATTGGCAACAAAATTATGCATATTATTAATGGCATGACCAGAATACTGTTGCCCTCTCCATCAGATGGGTTACGGCGGTGTTGATTCGAATTTTTCTTAGTTTTTTTCTGGCAAGATTTATTTCAACATAAAGTCTCCCGGCACCAGATGCAAACCCCTTGCAATATCTGTCTAAACCTCCTGCCTTGTTTAGATAAATTGTTTATCTACCCAACAGCCACACAGGACACATGATGGGTCATTGATCACAGACGGTCCTTAGGGTTTGAGGTGAACAAAGGTAATTATGCCTCTCTTGCACCAATGAGGCTTGTCAAGCCTCTGGCCATAACATTACCCTTCATCCTGGAAACTGGGTGGAAAACTCTTGGTTTAGATAGTTGGTTTATCTAATTCCAGTGTGTGTTGTGGGGATTCTAACATGTTAGGAGTCTGGGAAGGTAAAATACTACAAAGCCAGTGGCATATTATGTTTATGTCATATGTCATCTGGTAATATTATATTTTAAAAGATTGTCTAACTGAAACATAATTTATTCAGTTTTGATTTTGTCCTTTTACAACACTGTCTGTTTGTCCTGAGAGTCTTGTGTTGCCTTTAGGGAACTCACTCTGTGGTGACGTGCCTGTGCTTCATGCCGTTAATGAAAGACAAAGTGCTGTGTCTAAATGTAGGCTGTTGTTCTGGTTTTTGGACACCAATTTTCACGTCTGCCATCATGCCTTCAGTACCTTGTGACAGCTTTTCCTTGACTGTGCTGAAGGACTCTCACCATACAGCCCTCCATTTTTTGTTTTCTTAATATTTACTGTCCTTTGGGTTTGGCTATTGTCTGACAAGACGTATAGTACATATGTCATGAAATAAAGTAAATTTTTCCACTGTGAGATCAATAAAGTCTATCAATATATAGTGCTACTACTGGATTGTGACTGATTTATACTTTCATCAAATATGGTATGAATTTGATAAGCAATGTCAGTGACATTGATTTGGGTTTTGAAGAGTTTGAAGAGCAAATAAATCTTTAACCAAACCGTACTGCGTAAAGAAGAACTCTCCTAGTGGCAAGGTGTAGCACACCCTGGTTTTGCTGGTTTTCATTTCTATCCCACTGGTTCAGAGAGCTGTGGTAGTCCAGATTGACAACCCCAGCAGGTAAAACTCGGACACCCCAATAGGCTCTCTTCACTCTGCGATAGCTGGTGTCCTGCACGTCGCAGCGATATGTCCCTGAAAAAGATTTGGGCAGTTAAGCTGTTTATTTGCTTTCTTATTGATAATATTTGAAATGATGTAATTTAATCTTGGCTTCTCCTATACACATGAAATCACTGAATTTTAATATTTTTATTTTCGAGGGTTTCTGTCAATCTTAGTCATCTACTAGGGAAATACAACTGCTTGACAACAAACAAAATTCATTAATAGTGTATCAACATACATTGCAATGTAATTACACCTATTGGCTTTGTTCAGAGTGTGAGTGTTCCCACGCATTCTCATCTTCATACTTTGGATCTTGTGCTGACATACGGCATAGAATGTGAAGAAATAACAGTATTTCCTCAAAACCCTGTCCTCTCTGACCACTTTCTAATAACCTTCAGGATTACTTTAACAGAGTTCTCCTCCCCCAAAGGAAGGTTCAATTTTAGTAGATCTTTATAAGATAGTGCAGTTATAAATTTTAAAGAATCTGCTTCACTTTCTCTCTCCTCTGTGTCGCTGAGCAGTGCTGCAGAGTGCAAAAGCATAGCTTATTCCCCTTCACAGGTTGATGATTTTGTTGATGGGGTTGCTAGTTCTCTGCGTATTGCCTTAGACAACGCAGCTCCTTTGAAAATGAAAACCGTTAAAAATAGAAAGCTTGCTCCTTGGTATAATGCAGAGCTGCGTACTTTGAAGCAAAATGCTAGGAAACTGGAGAGAAAATATCGCTCCACAGGCCTGCGGGAGTCCTTCCTAGTCTGGAAAAATGGTTTACTGCTGTATAAGAGGACCCTTTGTAAAGCAAGAGCAGCATACTTCTCCTCATTAATAGAGGAGAATAAGAATAATCCTAGATTTCTTTTTAATACAGTTGCCAAACTCACCCAGAGCCATAGCTCTGTTGAACCCTCCATTCCACCTGCTCTTAGCAGCAATGATTTTATGGGATTCTTTATAAATAAGATTGATCTTATTAAAAATAAGATCATAAGCACTCCTCTATCCGCGATTGTACCTGAGGTAGTCATGGAATCTGAACCGGGTTTAGACTGCTTTGATCCAGTTGAACTTTCTGAATTAACAAAATTATTGTCTTCATCTAAGCCTTCAACTTGTATGTTAGATCCAGTTCCAACCAGGTTATTTAAGGAGGTATTCCCTTTGATCTCCTCCTCCATTTTAGATGTGATTAATCTATCTCTGTTACAGGGATATGTACCTAAAGCTTTTAAGGTTGCTGTAATTAAACCTCTGCTTAAGAAACCGTCTCTTGACCCAGATGACTTGGTCAATTATAGACCTATATCCAATCTTCCTTTCTTATCCCAAATTCTTGAGAAAGTAGTTGCCAAACAAGTTTGCGATCACTTACACCATAATGAACTTTTTGAAGAGTTTCAGTCTGGCTTTAGAGCTCATCATAGCACTGAAACAGCACTGATGAAAGTCACTAATGATATTCTCATGGCCTCAGATAATGGACTTGTATCTGTGCTCGTCCTGTTAGATCTCAGTGCTGCATTTGATACAGTTGACCATAATATTCTTTTAGAAAGACTTGAATATTTTGTTGGAATTAAAGGAACAGCACTAGACTGGTTTAAATCTTATCTATCTGATCGAATTCAGTTTGTTCATGTTAATGATAGATCTTCAACACGCTCACAGGTTACCTGTGGAGTACCACAGGGATCAGTGCTAGGACCAATTCTCTTTACTTTATACATTCTCCCAATTGGTAGAGTTATTAGACAGCATGGGATTAATTTCCACTGTTATGCTGGTGATACCCAGCTATATCTGTCTATAAATCCAGATGAAGCTAACCCATTACATAGATTACAGGCATGTCTTGAAGACATAAAAACCTGGATGACTCTTAACTTTCTGCTTCTGAATGCAGACAAAACAGAAGTTATAGTCTTTGGACCAGAGTCTCTGAAAAAGAAGCTGATTAGCCAGTCACTTCATTTGGATGGGATTAAACTGATTTCAGATGATAAAGTAAAAAATCTTGGTGTTATTTTTGATCAGGACCTGTCATTTAAATCCCATATCAAAGAGGTTTCTAGAATTTCCTTCTTTCATCTGAGGAACATTGCAAAAATTAGAAATCTCCTGTCCAGGGGTGATGCTGAGAAACTAGTCCATGCATTTGTTACTTCAAGGCTGGACTATTGTAATTCTTTACTATCAGGAAGTCCACAAACTGTAGTTAAAAGCCTTCAGCTGATCCAAAATGCTGCAGCCAGAGTTCTAATGAAAATTAAAAAGAGAGATCATATCTCGCCTATCCTGGCTTCTCTTCATTGGCTTCCTGTTAAATCAAGAATAGAATTTTAAATCCTCCTTCTCACATATAAAGCCTTAAATGGCCAAGCTCCATCTTATATCAGAGATCTGATTGTTCCTTATGTTCCTAACAGAGCACTTCGCTCTCAATCTGCAGGTTTACTAGTGGTTCCTAGAATTTCTAAAAGTAGAATGGGAGGCAGATCTTTTAGTTATCAGGCTCCTCTCCTGTGGAACCAACTACCAGTTTTAGTCCGTGAGGCAGACACCCTGTCTACTTTTAAGGCTAGACTTAAAACTTTCCTTTTTGATAACGCTTATAGTTAGAGTGGCTCAGGTTATCCTGAGCTATCTCTATAGTTATGCTGCTATAGGCTTAGACTTTTGGAGTACATAGGGACCCCCATTTCATCATTCTGCTTCATTCTCTCTCTGTTCTCCTATTCTGCAGAATCTGTTAGTTCAATCTCTAACCTTCTGCTCTCTCTGCTTTTCCTCAGAGTAGCTTTGCCTCGTCTGTTCCGGTTTGGCTGTGACGTCATCCTGGAAAGAAACATCAGCTGTGCTGCTTCCATCAACACCCTTGTTTATAGATGTTGGAGATCGGCCTGTTTTCCAGTGTGGTCCTGTTTCTCTGACCGTGACTGAGTGGATGTGCTCTCTTCGTCCTCTGGCATGGGAGCTGCCTTGGAGCTCATCTGCCTGGCTGCGTGTTTCCTGGACGGGGCCGCCTTTTACAGCTGCTTTTTGTATCTATGCTTCTGTCTCCTTGAACCCCAGTCGGCCTCGGCAGATGGCCGCTCACACTGAGCCTGGTTCTGCTGGAGGTTTCTTCCTGTTAAAAGGGAGTTTTTCCTCTCCACTGTCGCTACAAGCATGCTTAGTGTGAGGGATTGTATTTGAGTCAATGAGTCAATGCAATCAACTGGTTTTCCTTAGATAGAAAACTTTGTATCAATTTGATCGTATGATCTGGTTGAACTGTAAAGTGCCTTGAGATGACATGTGTTGTGAATTTGGCGCTATATAAATAAACTGAATTGAATTGAATTGAATTGTAAAAAATCAAACAGATAAAAAAAAATCTTAAATGTTATAACCTGTAACAAACCCCTAACTTCTCTGAGAAATGCAGCACTGGAGCCTCAATTTGAGCCGTCATACAGTTTTATGAAAACATTTGTACATGTGTCCTTACCTGCATCCTCTTCTCTGACCGCGTCCAGAACCACTCGATCTAAGTAAGGGGCCTCCCAACGATGAAACAGAGAATCATCTGAGCTGATTATTCCTCGGGCGTAGCGCCATGAAACCCTAAAGGATGGGAGCCAAATGACTAAGCTGAGATCTGCTCTCATTAGAATTCCTTTAAACATTTAAAACATTCCCAGAATAACAAAAAACGGTAATTACAATTCAATTCTGTGTTATAAACTTTTAAAAATGTAATCACAAAAAACTTTTTAAATGGAACATGAAGGTTTGATGGGGGGGAAAAACACAATGTTGTCATTTTACTCCTACCTCCAGGAGAACTTTCCCATTGCCTCCATGACTTCTCCCAAACAGTCAATCTCTACTCTCTGTCCAGAGGTGACAGTGATCGTCCTCAGTCCGCACTGCCATGAGTCCACACATTTTTCTTTTTGGACCCTGCACTTCTGTGACACATCTGACTGACTGATGTCCTGACATGAGTGATGTAAAAAGCAGTTTTATCTTTTACATGAATCAATTCATCATCATAATGATGCATGGATTCTGAGCTTTGAACAGCAGGACATATTACTTATAAATGTAGCTACAGTTATGAATTACAAGCAAATCTCTCCCTCCTATTTTAATTAGGACTTTCCTTTGGACAGCATTGATGATAGTTCTTGCCTTTATTCTGAGTATATACGCTCATTATCAGCATATCGTTAGCATGTTATTACATCACAGCTGTTTAGTGATGCCAAATAGTGCATCCTCTCTTAATATTATTCATGTTCAAATCATGATTAGTCTATCAATGCTTTGCTCTTAATCAAAGGGAAATTTCTATATATTCCTTCCATTGTTCACTTTCTTCGATTTTAACTTACATTCTCTTCCATTGCTGTCTTGCTGTCTTTTAACAAACACAGAGTCTGTGTTTTAATCCCCAGCCCACAGGTTGCACTACAGGGGGAGCTGTCAGTGATGACCTCCAGTGGTATTTTATCCTCCTCCATGTCAGCAGGGATGAGAAGATGCAGAAAGAGCAGGAAATGAAGCATCATGGTGCTAATATGCATTCTGTGTTCTGTGTGTTTGATGGTGTATCTACAAAAACAATAGATGAAAAAAAGGCAATTAAATATTACAAAAAACATGAAAATTTGTTTTTCTATTTCGATCATTTTAAATGACTTTATATTCAAAAATATATTAAAAGGAACCATAAAAATCAGCTGCAGCTCCTTTTTGCCACATAAACTGTAGGACCAAAGGCATAGTTAATATTTTATCTATAAGGCCAAAAACCCCCCAAAATATTTGCTTCTTCTTATCATGTTTCCGCTGTTATACTAAACATCAAGGTAATAACTTGAAGAAAGCCCAGGTTAATAATTTTGACGGGAAATCGTTTTTTTTTTTTTATCCTTAAAATGCAGTCCTTGTTAAATCATCTATTTTTAACATTTTAAATGATCAAATAGGGGAAAAAAAATTTCTGATTCAGTTTGTCAGTTATAGTATATGAACCATTAGTAACTGACAGCCTGAAGAAATAAATGTCTTTTTAAGGATGACTATAGAAATATACAGTTTCAACTTCAAATTAACTGAAAATACATGTTTTAGGAAAATGTAACTTGCCACAGTAGCAAAATGCTCTTACCTTTAGCACGTAACAATGAAGAAAAAGGACCAAACTTAGATCATAGAGTTCAAGTTGCATTTTTTTATATGGATGTTTTGTTGTGGCAACAGCAATTCTAGAATGTGATCCTATCCTCTCCTCCTATCCTCTCTATATGATTCCTACATTGTGTCTTGCTTTTCTGTATGTATGAATTAGGGAGATTGAAGCCTTTGCTTTTCCATAGTTGTTAACATAAAAAAATATTAAATTGTTTCATCTGCAGTTTTTCTTGCATCTTGGCCACCAGATGTTACACAAGCACAAGAAGACAAACCACAGTGGAACTGTTGGATTTGATGCATTGAGGTAAACTAATAAAGTATGAAATACTCAAACTAAGAGATATCCATAATTTTCCCACTCAGTTCTGTCATATCAAAAACAGCAAAGAGGAAAGATTACAGGAAAGGATGCTGGATAAAAATGTGAAGCATGATCTTTTGTTACAGTATATTCAGTGGTATGGATCATTTAAAAAAAAAAATCAGAGAATATGAACACATGAACTGATTTACTTGAATAATTTTCAGACTGTGTGCCCAGTTTTTTTTATTCACTTTTTATTAATGGATTTGGATCAAGAGCTCAGATTTTGGTTATTTCCTATTTTTAGTTTGTGTTTGTTTTCTTCCTTTGAAATCCTCTGAATAACAGAATCGGTTTTTATTTTATTTTTATTTTTTTGTTGTGTTGGTTTTAATTACTCCACATTCAAACTAGTTAATGTTAATAGACCATACAGTCTATTCTATTTCAAGCTCCATGCATATGTATTGGGTAGCTTCAATTTTAAGGTGCAATAGGCCAAAAAGGGGCTTCAACTGTCTCTTGATGAAGGATTATAAGCAATTATGCAGTACTCTGCTGCCAGCAAATTAGTTATTTCAGAACAATAAAAAAATAATTGGAGATAGTTATCAGGACCACACGAAAAACATATTGAGTACAAAAAGATGCATATTAAAATGAAAGATGAAGCTACTGGAATCCATTCTCCTTCAGTACTGTCAAATTCCTGAACTGGTACCCACCTAATACGAGGTGGGACCAGGGTTCTTGAGTCAGTTTAATTCAAGCTGAAGACTGAAAGACTCAAAATCAACTCCAGAATCAACTGCCAGATCTTAGAAAGACTTTTCAAGCAGGAAAAAGTAGGTATCTTTAAAAGGACTATGATTTTTATACCAAAGCTATGCTTCATCACATCCATCAATGCACCAAAAAATGTTAGCTGGAGAAGTGAAACAATGATCCTACTGTGTGTGAACTCACAAATACTCCAAGGATCTAGCTACCTCCTTCTTTCCTCCTTTAGGAAGGAGGGTCTTTTCTGAATTTGTTTTCAGAAATACTGGCAAATGTTAAGTTGATTGTAATCTCTCATTGATATAAAAAAAATAAATTTGTATTTCATATAGCTGCAAAGCAACTCTGCACACTAATGGTTTTCTAATAAGTTTGCACACAAATATATTCTCCCATGAAAGGCCAAACCTCCCATTTACTTTCTTAAACATTTGAGTCTGAGCTTTTAGGACTAACTTTGAACTCTACCATTGTTCATTTAATATAATCAGACTCAGCTATTGTACAGACAGTATAAATCATTGTCAACTGGTAATTGATCCATTTGTATGTCATCTGAGGTGGTTGGTTGGAGTTGGCCATGGGTTTGTTTCAGTCTTTTTCAATGTCCATTTGGAAAGCTGACCAGTCCTTGTGGATCACGGATTTGTGGATCACGGATTGATTGCCAGTTTATTATGGTGTAAAACAGAGTAACAGTGGAGAAACAACCATGCACTTAGATTACCATCACTGGGATTTGATAGGGGGTGTATTACTGTGCAAGTGTTACTTACTCCTGCTTTAAGCAGATAAAAATGGAAAACATTGTGGCCTCTATGGCAAAACTTGTAGACACACATCATATACTTTCTTTCATCACTAATAATTTACTGCCACATGTTTTCAGTTCTTATTCATTCCTGCAAAGTTGTCAATTTTACCCCCTAGTTGTTAATATTTTTTCAATTCTCTCAGGTTCAGTATATCCCCTACAATTTATTTATGTGTGCATACCACATAGATCCAGACACTTAAATCACTCTAAAAACAATGTATTAAAATTCTTATTTAATTATTTAATGTATTATCTTTTTTTTATTTAGCAGTCATTTGTCTTTGTTAATTGTCTTTCTGTGTTCATTAATTAATGCTATCCTGTTACAATGCTGACAAAAGCGCAAGGATAAATACACTTTTTCCTATAAAACAATCACTTCATGCTTATGTAAAAATGCTAAATATTTAACACAAAAATTCTTAGCAACATCAATGAATAGACCTTCTTTGAGAAACAGTAAGCACAGCTCTTGTTTTTCATCATGGATCATCTATTAGGACACCGTCTGGATTCGGCTTTGTCCTAAAACAGTTATTTATAAATTCTGAGAAGGACTCCATCTGCTGTCGGGAAGAGAACCAAGACACGACAATGAACATAAACAGGAAAAACCTCTCACAAAGTGAGTCAGGAGGATGAGTCAGCAGAAGTGGGGTGCTGAAACCTCATTAGAAGCCAAGAACAACGGCCTATTTGGCAGATCGGGAAAACTCGGAAAGTGGTGAACACTAAAGTCCTCAGTGTGTGTGTGCCCACATTCCAGGCAATGGTTGTTGTAGTGTAAGAGGACAGTAATAACAACCGAGATATCTGTGGTGTATTGTATTAAAAAATGTGTTTCCACCAAGTTAAAATCAAATAAAAATTAAGGAAATTTCCAGCACTAGACTTATACTGCAAAAAATTGAAATCTAAGTAAGTTTATTTTTCTTTAAAAAAGAGCATTTCTTTCTTGAATTAAGCAGTTAAGTGATACACTTTGCCAATGGAATAATTACATCTAAAATAAGAAAAAACAATTGAGTTGTCTTATTCCAAGTAGATATTATCTAATTATCTCATTTTAAGAGTAAAAATACTAATTCCATTGGCAAAGCTTTTTATTTACTTGCTTAAATCATGCTAAATACACTTATTTTAAGAAATTTTTACTCCTTTCCAGATCGTTTTGCAGTGTACATAAATATTTCTCCTACTTCAGGGCCATTTATCTGACATTTTAAGGCTTCCCAAATGAATTTAGGCACTGGACTTGGAAAAAAAAAATGTAAGAGTAATCCAAAGTTTTTTTAAAGAAGCAATGGTTGATGATGATTTAATGACATTGTTTGAATATTGAATATTCTCTTTTGTTTCCAAACATTGTTAAAAAGTGCACACCTGTACTCCATTTGCAAATATTCTTTTGCACTTTGGAGTTTGTTAATTACGACAAACCTAAAAATCTTTCTGAGGCTTTACAAATCTCTTCAACACTTGCAAACTGCATTGATTTAATGAGAATCATTTTAAATGTTTGCAGCAAAAGCCCCCTATTATTAATAGATACAGAAACAATTCTTCTAACCAGGGCTGTTTACTTTTTTGGTCTGCTGGGCTTCAGTTTTCAGTTGCATACAGGCGTGGTTTAAGCTTCTGAACTATTTATGTGACAGTTAACTTCCTTGCATAAAGGGGAATAAACATTAGATCACAGTTGCAACTCAAAAGACAGCAGAGATTGTACACATTTTTTACATTAGATTAAATACCTGTAATAAAAGTAGGAATTCTGCAAAGATATTTTTTATTTATACTAAGTGTTAAAAAAAAATGTAAAATAGCAAAGTTAGATTCAACTTCTGTAAAATGGTAATATGATTCTGATGTTTATAGCTACGGACAAAGGTAAAAGCTCTTCTGTGTTTAACATTTCCTATTTCCTATTTGAACTTTGAGCTTTGGCACATTTCTACTGAACTGTTTCTCAAGTTCTTTCACTTAGCAGAGAAATGACAGAGTACTTGCTGAAAATACTGATTGTAGGTGATGGAAATGTTGGAAAGTCTTCCTTTGTGCACCGATATGTTAGTGGACAGTTCAACAAAACGTACAAGATGACTGTGGGAGGTATGTGTGTGTCTTTTCTTGGCTTTTTATCTTTGCTGACTAGTGTGTATAATGTTTGATATGGAAATCTGACATTCCTGGCTCCTTTGAATGTAGAAGAATTGTAACTTTTACAAACCACATATTGTTCAAATAAACCTAGTGGCACTTTTTTCCTGGCTGTAAAACAAATTCAGTGTTTTTCTAAAATATTTTGTCCTGCTAGTTTCTTTTATTCAGCATAAACAGCAGAAAAAGGCTGAGAGAAGAGAGGAAGAAATAGGGCAAAGTTCTAGTAGGTAGTAAAAACCACTAACCATACGTTCCTTATTACAGTAGGTCGTGATAGTTTGGTGATCCAGTCAACATATGCTTTGGAG